AAGATGTGGGACGAAAACGGGTAGTGAAACGAAGATGTGGGACGAAAACGGGTAGTGAAACGAAGATGTGGGACGAAAACGGGTAGTGAAACGAAGATGTGGGACGAAAGCGGGTGCCCCGTTATTTACGTCAGACTGTATGTTTACTGCTTAGATTATTCTTTTTTCCTCTATTTGACGTTTATGTAATGCAAATAGGTTACAGAAGAACTGAGTTAAGGGGAAGTTTGAGGTGCTGAATAAATAGATAACAAACCTAGCTGCGCACAAAGTAGGAATAGCCTTCCGTATACTAAGAGTTAATGGTCCCAGAATACACTCTAACCGAGCGGTAAAACATTGGACTTATTGCAACTGAAAAAAAGAAAGAAAATAAGTTTTGAGTTCCCTTCCATTCACCTTTTGTCGAATAGCACGTCATATCAATGTAATTATAGATCTATGGGTTTAAAGGCCCTTTCAACACCGTAAGGTTATTTGAGCAACATGATCTCTGAAATTGACGCCCAACTCCGACAGGACGAAGACATACATGTGGGTGGAGAACTTTAAAAACTCCCCAAGCAAGTCAATTTCAAGAACAGCCTCTTAAGAATTCGTACCAAAGCCCCCCCCCCCTCACACGACACACACCCCCTTACGATAGCCCGATTGCCCAGCATGATATTAACTGAGATATATAAATCTGCCTCATTGAAAAAAATAAAAAAATATTTCATCTATTTTCCCCTGTTCACTCAACTGCAAATCAACTGCTTGGTGTATGACCCTGCTATACGCCATTTTGAAAAGTGACGTATGCCGGATTCTTACACTGAGCAGTCACAATGGGAACCTGGGCATAAGCAGAAAATGGATTTGTGAGTGACAACCTTTTTGGGAAGTGATGCCTGTAAGCGTTACCGTACTATCAATTATAGCATGATGGTTGGTTACCAACATGTGCAACCTATCATCTATCTATCTCTCTATCTCTCTATCTCTCTATCTCTCTATCTCTCTATCTCTCTATCTATCTATCTATCTATCTATCTATCTATCTATCTATCTACCTACCTACCTATCTATCTATCTATCTATCTATCTATCTATCTATCTATCTATCTATCTATCTATCGAAATAGAGCAAATGCGTATATCATGCTCACTCAAGAAATGGTGTGCTTTTATCCAGTTCCTTAGTGTAGTGCCAGACTGTAGTGATGACGTAGATATTTGCAGATTGTTTATATCCCAACGAGAGATTTGTTTCGTTTTATAAAACAGCAGCACATAGTTTTTGTTCATATGATTTAGATTACTAATGATAATGATATTGATAATAATAATGTAAACCTGCCGACCATTCTGCGAGCCTGTCTGCTTAACTGTTTCTCTGTTTGTCTTTCGATTTTGAGAATTTACACTATATCGTACACTTACAATTGTTTATAACGTACACATCAAAGAACACACACACTCACACACACACACACACACACACACACACACACACACACACACACA